CCCCTCTCCCCCCTGCAACCCCCTGGAACCTGCCCCTCCATTCACCCCCCTCTGTCCTGCTGGTGCCCGTCCCTTCCCTTGTCCCCCGATTGCCCTTGTGCCCGCCCCTCCCCTATGTCCCTCCCTCAACCCCCTCTGCTCCTGTCACCTCCCCCTCCCCTTTCCTCTCCCAGCATCAACTTGTCCCCTCCCTGCCTCCAGTGACAGCTTCTCCCCCCCCTCCTCCTGCCCTTTCCCCTCATTGTCTCCTCACAGGCAGACGGGCCCTGACTCCCCTCAGGCAACAACCCCCCCCCAGCGATTAACGGGGGTGCAGGTTAATTTCCCTTTGATCTCAGTGACCAGCCCCTGCCCCCGGCCCTGACTCTGTGACTCTCTTCCCAGTGGACGTGACTCTGGATCCAGACACGGCTCATCCCGAACTCGTCCTGTCTGAGGATCGGAAACATGTGAGAGACGAAGACACATGGCAGGATCTGCCGGACAACCCTGAGAGATTTGATACGTATCTCAGTGTCCTGGGCGCTGAGGGTTTCGCGGGCGGGAGGCATTACTGGGAGGTGGAGGTGGGAGACAACCCTGAGTGGGACCTGGGGGTTTGTAGGGAATCTGTGAGCAGGAAGGGGGACATCACACTCTCACCTGAGGATGGGTACTGGGTCGTGTGGCTGTGCGATGGGGAATACGAGGCCCTCACCTCCCCCCGACCCCCTCCCCGTGAGCGTCAGGCCCAGCCGGGTGGGGATTTTCCTGGACTATGAGGCGGGTGAGGTCTCGTTTTACAATGTGACTGACAGGTCCCATCTCTTCACTTTCACTGGCACCTTCTCCGGGACGCTCCGCCCTTATTTCCATCCTGGTTACAACGCTGAGGGTACAAACGCGGCTCCCCTGATAATCTGCCCGGTCCCAGCTCAGGCCGGAGGGAATCTCTGTCCCTGACAGTGACCCCGCGGTACAGACTGACCCCTCCCAGCGCTGCTGCTCTTCCCGCCCTCAGTGGTGGGGGCCAGTTACTGCAGCAACTGGACTTTTTGTGCTGACCGGACGCTGCCAGTTTCCCTGTTCAACTGGAGCTTCCAGTCGAAAAACAGACACCTGGAAACCCCCAGCCCTCACCTTCCCCGTCCCCTGCCCCAGGGGTAGCAGATGGGGGTGGATGGGGTCATTTACCCCTGTCAGAATTGTCTACCCCTGTGAAAGTTCAACGTAAAATATGGAAAGAAAAAAGATTATTCTAATTTG